GGCAACTGGGCAGGAGTTTCTCAACTTCCACGCGTGATTCTGAAGAATCTTCCAGGTTGAGCAAACTACCTGGCTCCACGCCGCTTTCACCCTGAGGTGGCTCCAGTTTTCCTGTGCTTCAGGCACAAATTGGTGGAGCTCATGTTGCAAGCGTAGTTCTGCCATGCTAGAGAGGAGACCCGTGGGAACCTTGGACATTGAAGAGCAGCAAAACAAAACACACACCCAACAGACACACACACACACACGCACACCCAAGCACGCACACACACACACCCAGCAACAACAAGGCAAGCAGACACATCCGCAATTTTCGGGAGGATAGCGACGAGATCTAGTGAGAGAGCAAGAAAATCGAAGCAGCAAGAATACGGCCAAGAAGAGCTGGCACATAGCAGCAGCTCCGCAAGTTGAATTAGTTGCACAAGTTCCTCTGTTCAGGGACGCCTGTCCACGCAGCGCAGCCTTTGCTGAGCTACGGCAACAGGAGGGAGGCTCAAGTCCAATTCAGAAGCTTGCGACGCCTGTACAGAGATCTCCTGGATCATGGCAAGGATGCGTCGTTTCGATACAGCACTTCCATCAACCACAATCTTGCCGGTTTTGATGTAGGCACTGAGCACTCCGCCAAAATTTGGCTTGACCAGAATCCCGGTTACCTTTCCACGACTCTTGTGCCTTCGTGTAGTGAGGAGGCCCATACAGGGCAACAGACAATAGCAAGGCCGCTAAGTCTGTCACCTCATTCACGGGAAGGCCACTCTTGATAATTCGGTTACACTGCTCAGCCTGCGCAAGCTTGTGCTCGTGCAGGAAAGCAGCTTTCCGAGACTTGTCCATTAGGTCATGCACCGAGGGGAGGTCGTGATTCATGCCAGCTGGGTTATCTTCTCTGGTCTGTTGCCTAGACATCTGGCGACATTCCCCCGCATCTTTTCCTGGCGCCCAAGTTTTTGGCTGCCCGGGCACACCTTGCACTCGAGCACGGGGCAAAGGGGAGCGAGACCGCCTGCGCACCTGTTCCACAAAGAACTTATCAGTGAGCTCCTGCGCCCATTCCTCGGCCCACCGATTCCTTCTCGTGTGCCGTATCAGAGAACAGGGCCCTGACCACCTGCTCACTAGCAGGGATGGTCTCTTGGGAATCAAAGCACGACTCCGTTGGGGTAGCTCGCATCATCTCCCTCATTTGCTCCCTCACCGGCGTAGCCGGCAAACGATTTCCAGGGGCCTGCTTGGGCATGAGGAGAAGGTGTCGGGTAGAGAGGACTCAGGATAGTGCATGAACAAACAGAGCTGGAAGCAGCGGGAGGTAAGCCAGGCAAAGCAACTTCAAAGATCGATCCTTCAAGAGCCACTAAAACACAATCAAAGGCAACCACACCCACCCTCCTCCCCACAAGAGAAACAAAAAATGCGCCGACAGCAGCTCGGAGCCATAGCCCCCACGCCAGCCTTCACCTCTGCCAGCTCCATCATCAAGATCACTCCCTCAAACCTTCAGCCTCGTCCCTTACACCGGGAAACACACGCCCTAACACGGAACAAAACAACCAACACGAGGCGGCGCGGCGAAGGGCGAACAAGCCCCAACACAGACAGAACAACCAACGCAAGGCGGCGCGGCGAAGGGCAAACAAGCCCCAACACAGAACAAAGCGAAGGCCAAACAAGCCCCAACACGGAACAAAACAACCAACACGAGGCGGCGCGGCGAAGGGCAAACAAGCCCCAACACAGAACAGAACGACCAACACAAGGCGGCGATGAACATCATGATGTAAAAGATGATGAACATGATGATGATGAACATGATGATTAAAATGATGATGACGGTGATGAAGATGAAAATGATGATGATGATGATGATGATGACCATGAACATGATGAAGAAGAACACCACCATCAAGCATGCGTGGTGTTCCTTATCATCATCATGTTCTTCATCATCATCATTTTTCATTATCATGTTCATCATCATTGTGTTCATCATCATCATCATCATCATCATCATCATCATATACATTTCAAGTGTGCTGCAAGACGCGACTGGACATGCAGATGATGCGCTATCATGATATCTAGCTGAGGCTGGGGACGTTAACTGCTGGTGATGCTGAGGATGCGTAGTAATGATTACCATCAGGGTGATGATGACCATCATCCTGATGATAATCATCACTACGCATCCTCAGCATCACCAGCAGTTATCATCAACACAACGCATCCTCTGCATTTCCAGTCGGGTCTAACGGCACACTTGAAACGTATATGAAAAAGAAGAGCGATGATGAACATGATGAGGAGCATGATAATGCAAATGATGATGATGATGATGAACGTGACGATGATGAAGATGAAACTGATATGATGAACACTAAGCAAAATGACTGTGATGGTAACTATCATCGTCGCTTCCTCTGCGTCTCCAATTGGGCCTAACGGCACACTTGGAATGTATAAAAGAAATAAGAAAGAAATGATGATGACGATCATGATGATGATGAAGGATGATGACCATGATGATGATTATGATAAGCATGATGACTGTGACGATAACTATCATCGTAGCATCCTCTGCATCTCCAATTGGGCTTAACGGCGCACTTGAAATGTATATAGGAATCAAGTTATAATGACGATCATGATGATGAAGGATGATGACCATCATGATGGTTATGACAAGCGTGATGACTGTGATGACAAATATCATCTTAGCATCTTCTGCATCTCCCATTGGGCCTAACGGCGCACTTGAAATGTGAATATGAAATATGAAAGAAATGATAATGACGATCATGATGATGATGAAGGATGCTGACCATCATGATGATTATGATAAGCATGATGACTGTGATGATAACTATCATCGTAGCATCCTCTGCATCTCCATTTGGGCCTAACGGCACACTTGAAATGTATATAAGATAGAAATGATGACGATCATGATGATGATGAAGGATGACGACCATCATGATGATTATGATAAGCATGATGACTGTGATGATAAATATCATCGTAGTTTCTTCTGCATCTCCAAACGATGTATCTAAGAAATTAGAAAGAAATGATGATGACGATCATGATGATGATGAAGGAAGATGACCATCATGATGATTATGATAAGCATGATGACTGTGATGATAACTATCATCGTAGCATCCTCTGCATCCCCATTTGGGCCTAACAGCACACTTGAAATGTATATAAGAAAGAAATGATGATGACGATCATGATGATGAAGGAAGACGACCATCATGATGATTATGATAAGCATGATGACTGCGATGGTAACTATCATCGTTCATGATAAGCATGATGACTGTGATGACAACTACCATCGTAGCATCCTCTGCATCTCCAATTGGAAGATGGTGATGATGATGATGGGGATGATGATGGTGATGAGGATGATGACTGTCATGATAACTCTCATCGTAGCATCCTCTGCACTTCCAATCAGGGCTAACGTCACACTTCAAATGTATATAAGAAAGAAATGATGATGACGATCATGATGATGATGAAGGAAGATGAACATCATGATGATTATGATAGCATGATGACTGTGATGATATCTATCATCGTAGCATCCTCTGCATCTCCATTTGGGCTTAACGGCGCACTTGAAATGTAAATATGAAAGAAGAAGAAATAAATGATGATGACGATCATGATGATGATGAAGGAAGATGACCATCATGATGATTATGATAAGCATGATGACTGTGATGATAACTATCATCGTAGCATCCTCTGCATCCCCATTTGGGCCTAACAGCACACTTGAAATGTATATAAGAAAGAAATGATGATGACGATCATGATGATGATGAAGGAAGACGACCATCATGATGATTATGATAAGCATGATGACTGCGATGGTAACTATCATCGTTCATGATAAGCACGATGACTGTGATGACAACTACCATCGTAGCATCCTCTGCATCTCCAATTGGAAGATGGTGATGATGATGATGGTGATGAGGATGATGACTGTCATGATAACTCTCATCGTAGCATCCTCTGCATCTCCAATCAGGGCTAACGTCACACTTCAAATGTATATAAGAAAGAAATGATGATGACGATCATGATGATGATGAAGGAAGATGAACATCATGATGATTATGATAAGCATGATGACTGTGATGATATCTATCATCGTAGCATCCTCTGCATCTCCATTTGGGCTTAACGGCGCACTTGAAATGTAAATATGAAAGAAGAAGAAATAAATGATGATGAGGATCATGATGATGATGATGAAGGAAGATGACCATCATGATGATTATGATCAGCATGATGACTGTGATGATAACTATTATCGTAGCATCCTCTGCGCAACTGGATGTTGATGACAATAAGAGTAAGAGTAAGAATAAGAGTGATGATGACCTTCACATCATGATGATGATAAGCAAGTGTGAATGTGAAGAGTATGGGAAGCGTGACCCACCCGTAAACAAGCTTACGGGTCGCGCCTTAGACCTGGTCTTCCAGAATGGCCGTGGGAAAGGCAAAGTGCTACAAGAAGAGATGTATAAAGTATGAAGAAAGTCAGACGAATATATGAACACAAGTGTGAATGCGAAGAGAATGTGAAGCGCGCGTGACCCGTAACCAAGCTTGCGGGTCGCGCCTTAGACCTGGTCTTCCAGAATGCTCGTGTAGCGGATATTGATGACAAATCGGATGATTAGCGTCATGACGCATCCTGAGCATCAGTGGGAGTCATGACAAGCAGATGATGATGATGATGGTGATGATGATGATGATGATGAAAGAGATGATGATGACAATCACGATGATGGTGATTGATGTTGATGATAATAAGAATAAGAGTAAGAATAAAAGTGATGATCATGATGACGAGCTTCCCGTGCGCCTCCCCTTACAAAGGGGTCGGCGGATTTGTTTGTGTAGGTGTGTGTGTGTGTGGTTTCGCGTGCTCGAGTGATGCTTTGCGCATGTGGGTGTATGTGCTTTGCACTGAGGCAGATTGCCACGAAGTAAGCGGCTTTTGAGCCGCTGTGCCTTTGCCAGCAACGGGGGCCTCGTTTGTATGCCGGCGGAGGACTGAGAATTGGGGAGTCAACGGAGTCACACGAAGTCACACGCCATCTTAATTTGAGGTGCAACCGTTCCTCAGCGCGGCGCCGCAGTCAGACAGAGGTGGGTGAATGGTGTTGATGTGCGACCAGTTCGCAATTGGTTGTGAGCTAGGCCGAAATCGGGGCGGCCTGCAACGCTGACCGGCCACGCTCCCAGACCTTTCAGGATTGGTGTTGGCACGCTGCAAATTAGGCGCGAATCGTCACCGGCACCTTTGCGTGCCCAAGCTGAGGCAAAAATGACCAAAACCTCTCAAGTCCTTGCAGCCACTTTGGACAGGACGCTGAGGAAGGAAAAGCGGCGGAAAGAAGGCGCAACCACGCCATGAGTACTGATTAATTACGTTGAGCACTTGGCGCCAGGCAAATAGAGTTGCGGACGCTTGAGGAGGCATGTACGCATTCTCAAACGATTTGCACTTCGGCGTTGGCAGGATGGGCCACTCAGATGTGCATCTTGCGGAAGGCCTTGTGTGGCGTGAGACTCTGAGAGTGGGCCACTGGCGATGCTCAGGGCGGCGAAAACGCGGTGTGGAAGGTGCAAGCAGGAAGTCTACTGTGACAAGGAGTGCCAGGCTTGAAAGCGAAGTCGATAGAGTATCCGAGTCATGTGGAGACAGGCGCAGCACTGGAAGACCCACAAGGCGCTGTGCAGAGCTCCAGCGCCGATTTCTAAGTGCCTCGCGGCCTCGCGGCCTCGCTTCGAACATCTCTGTTGAAAGGCTGTGTGAGCCTGGCATGCGAAACGATCGGATGAGACATGCGGAATCGTGCAGATTCGAGGCCAAGCGCACCCGCAAGGCCATGGATGATTCATTGCCAGCCTTGCCAATGTGTTTTTTTGGCGCAGGCGTGAGGAGATTATTCCTCTTTGCGGTCAAGGATTCCGCGGTTGGCCCATGACTAAGATTCGTAAGCCAAACTCAGCGAAACTGAGCCAAAGACAAACGTACCTGTGTCAAAGACGCGAGGCTTGAGCAGTCTCCCTGGCGGCAAGTGGGATCCAGCTGTTTGGAGGCCGAGCGGACGTTTCGGATCACTTCCCAATTCCGCACTTTCCGGCGCTGCGACACAAAGAGTTACTCTTTTGCTTCTCTCTCTTTCTCTCTCTCTCTCTCTCCCCATTTGCACTCATTGTGCATTGAGAGCGGAGAGGAGCCTGGCGTTGGCATCACCAATTGGAGTAACAACTGCTATCTGAGTGCAGCAAGGGCCCTACGTGTAGAGTGAGCGATTTTCGCACCTTTGGTGAATGCTGGGAGTGGAGGTTGAGTGGCTTTCGGCTCAGGCCATGAGTGTCACGGAAAAGCATGGCAAAAGCATGCAAAGTCATGCACCAGAGGTAGTGGTGCCATGCTATTCTTCTTGACTGGGGTAGATCCATTTTGTGTACATGCATCACAAACACAATAGCTCATTCTCTTGCTGCCATGTCGATCATTCGACACTTGTGCCGTGAATGAACGTGCCGATCAGCCCGGCACTGTGTTATGTTCGTTGTTTTTTTAGTTTGCATTTAGAGTGGAAGCTTTCGTACGGCCAAGCCTAACAATCTACCAGGAATCCAACTTGATTTGTCTATGTACCAACTTGGTAAGGGCATGTCAGGCTTGTTCAATCAGAGGCATGAGGTTAGACCCTCATACAAGCTGCAGAACTTGAGAATTTTTGCTCAGAGAGCGTGCCAGAGCTTTCCTTGAATGCTGCTTTGGGTGGGCTTGCGAGCAGAAAAGCGGATGCAGAAAAGCTTGCCACGAGTTGCGGCCATGCATGGCACGGGTGGGAGGCATCTTGGGTGCATTTGGGGAACCTGAGGTCTGTCAGTGCCTACTTCACACGCCCATGCTCCGGCAGCATCTCCGAGAGACGTGCCATGAGCCTCCGGAGGACTGACCTGATGCCCTCTGAAACTTAGTTGAGGCACACTGGTTTTGCCCATGAATATCTGAAAGGCCAGGTTGCTCACAAATGTTGGCGAGCCGCAACATTGCCTGCCCATGACTTGTGAACGTGTGGAACTGAACACTCTCCTGCAAACCAAGGAAGAGGAGCGCTTATTCATGCAACAAGTGTTTGCCAGGGCCAATTTTCTGCGCAGAGTGCACGGACAGATGGATGCTTCTTCTTTGTAATCACATTTAAGCGTGTAGGACGCGTGGCTGGCAGAGCTGCTCGGATTGTGCCTCCACCTCGGAATCGAGAGACATGTTGAGCGGCATTTGTTTACGAAGGATCCGCAGCTTAACGCAGGTAGTTCTTAGCTTGATTCTTGTTGTAGATACGTTTCAGTCGTCTTTACATCGTTTAATTCTTAGCTAATCTCTTGGCGAGGCCGTCTCATGGACGGGGCCAAGCGACGCGGGACTCGCCATGCCGCGGCCCCACATGAGAGGCGTGGGGCGCCGGCACGCGTTGGGTGGCCTAGGTGGACCCTCCACGGCGACTGACTCGACTCATCGCAGAGGCGGGACGATTTCCGCGGTAAATTTTAGCAAAGCCCCTCGGTTGGTGTTCCGATAATGAAAACCAGGAAATACAGCATAACAATTCGAGTTGTTGTTACTTGAGGCCAGCGAGGAATTTGCCTTTGGCCGTCAAGCAGACGCTCATGAAGCCTTAATGCTGCTGATTTCCCGCTGGCTTGCTGGCTGTGTCAAGGACGGGCTTGCAGCGCGGAGTCATATTCCTGAGAGCAATCAAGAATGCAGAGCATTCCTGTATGCTGATACTGTTGGTTTGCAATACAATTCAGGTTGGCGATGGGTCTGGAAGCGATTGCTCTCGGCTGGGGTGCGCCCAACTGGAGCAATGCGTGGTTTGGACGTCAGTTTGAGTTGCTGCTTGCCCGGTGAGACGAGGTATCTTGAGAAGGAGCAATTGGAGGCGGGCGACTCGTGTCCATGCATCGCTTAATCGCACAAACGCAGAGGCCAGCAGCATGATTGGTCATGTCTTTGGTATGCTGATGGGCTGGTACCTCAGTTGCCATGCCTGGCAGTTTTGCATGTTCCATTTGTTCCATTTTCCGTGACGCTCCGTGCCAGGCTCGAAGATCTCCTGCAACTCCTGCACCTACGAATCGTTGGTTAGCCGGGCCGGCTGCTCAAAGTGCAGTGCTCGATCTCGGCTCGGGTCGTTCCGGGGGTAGATGTGGAACAGCATTTAATCCAATGAACCATGCACCGACGGTGACAATGTTTTCAAGCCAAACGTTGGACAGAAACCGGATCAACGAGCTAGTCAGCCCGTCGAAGCGAATCAGCAGATGCAGGAAAGTATGGAGTTGCCGCCTTGCGAATGTCTGCCCTTTTGATGGAAAGATGGCCAAGCCTGCGCTGATATGACCACAGGCGGATGCTGATCGCATTGCCAAGATAGTCATCGTGTTGTCTACAAGCAACATATTCATACATGTGTGATCGCTGGGAGCTTTCCAGTTTTGGAAGCATCGAGTCACTCGCCGTGTCAGTCCCGTCATTCTCTATGTTTTCCTCATACTTTGTGTTTGTAAGCCTGTGGCGAGTCTTGAACTGACCAGTCTGCTGGAAGACATAATTTAGTTTGTTCTCTAAGACAGATCTCGCGAAATCTTACCTAAGGACCAGCATGCCATGAAATCCTTTACACTACAGACTTACCAGAGAAGACTGACAGTTAAGGGATCTTGAATCTCTTCTATCCAGATATTAGACATCAAAGCGAACCTTTCTGCCAATGGTACCACATCGGGAAAATTGTTTCCAGCAGTCAATGGGCTCACATGTAGCCTTTGCAAATGAGCGCAGCGCAAATGCCGAAGGATACTACCAGGGCAGACGAGCAGACTCACATGTGAAAGGTCGAGTACTGCCTGTGCCTCACCGTGACGTTGGGGATGACTGACGAGGAACTTCAGAAATGCCGCCAGGAGACCATGTCATCATGTCATGTTTTTCTATGAGCGATGGCTTGTAGGAAAGCGCACAACAGCTAAATCGCTGGTGTTTGCGCCGGCCCATACAAGGTGGGACCGTGACACATGTAATGTAAGGAATTCTGCTGCCTGTTGAGGGTTGCGGATTTCTCTTCGCGAGGCCCTCGACAAGATTCCTCTACAAGTCCCACGTCCCTCTCCAACCTTCTCGACGAGTGCCAAAGAATCAAAGTCGAGAGGGGTAGCGTGCGAGAGTGGTAAAGTGCAAGAGGGCTGAGGCACATGGAACAAGGTACACGAAAGCCGAGCACATTGCCGACTTCAAGTGTGAGAAGCTGCAGCCCAAGCTCTTCCAGCGTAAAACTTTGCGCTTCTTCATTTTACACTTTTCCAAGGGATGGGTGGTTTTTGAGCGGTCTACTTCTTGTCACATCATTGTGATGCGAAAGTGAAATCAGCCGCGCCATCCACGCACTCGCACCATCCTCAATCTCGATGCTCGAAGGTGCAAACGTCAAGGCGGTGATCGCACCTCCTTTGTGCGCAGACGGCCCAACTCCTTGGTCATCTACATTGATCGCCGACAGGATCGCCGTGTACGCAGTTTTGAGCACAAGTGCGCGCATGCGCGCACAGGACACCAACCTGTTCGGCAAGATCAACCGAAGGAGCTGGGATGTTCGCTCGAATTGCATTGATCTGTGCGCTCAAGGGTGAGCTTCCCAGCAAAGCTGGACCTAAGCAAGGAACTTACACGCGGATTAACTTGTCAGAGTTCGCACATAAAGTTGGGAAACGTAAGTATCCTCGGCGAAGGTCGATGGATCCCTCAAGATGACATTGTGAAGTTTGGCGAAGCGGAGAATGCAAAAAGAAGAGGCTCGCTTGAAGTCATGCTAAAAGAGCTGATCAATTTTGTGAGCACAGTGACGGCACAGGAACGACTTACTTGCTCTACGCCATGTGTGTGCACCATGATTTGCGGACTTTCTGACCTGCTTTTCAAGTGGAAGTGGACACTGGACATTTGAACCTTGACACGCTAGGGGGTCCACAGCCTCGGGCCACTACGTCGCATATGCGCGGGACCGGCACAATCGATGGCCTGTGCCCCAGAAAAGGCTGCCCCGGGCAAGCATGCGCTCAATGTGTCGAGTGAGCCCGAGGTTTCACATCGATGACGAGACCGTGCGGCAGGTGCAGTGGAGCGACGTTGAAGAGTGTGCAGCCCAATGTGACGTTTCGTCGAATGCCATCCTATATTTGAGCACTTTCGGGGCCAAGGCAGCATCCTTATTTGCTCTTCTACGTGGCTGAGCAGCCAGTAGATCTGGCGAACCTCGGATAGTTGCTTGCTTGGCGCTCAGTGCATTGGCTCCATGGCAGGCTGAACCAGTTCCAGCTGGTGAGGAGAAAGGTGGCCCAGAGGCCTGTAGCGGCGCTCGAAACACATCTCTCACGATCTCTCAGCCGAAAGGACGAAGCTAGCCACGAGCACGAGGAGCACCCGGAGCCGGAGCACGCGGAGCACGCGGAGCACGCGGAGCACGCGGAGCACGCGGAGCACGCGGAGCACGCGGAGCACGCGGAGCACGCGGAGCACGTGGAGCACGTGGAGCCGGAGCACGCGGAGCCGGAGCGCGCGGAGTGCGCGTCAGAGCCGGAGCCACCGGAGCCGCCAGAGTCGCCTCAGCCCGAGCCGCCTCATCCGGCTCCGGAGCTGCTGGAGGCGAAGCAAACGCGTTGCGCATCTCGCATCGTCTTTTGCTTCCAAGTTTCGCCTTTTCCGAGCTGCCAGGCCAAGGCGGTGGCAAGGGCCCGAGTGCGGGACTGCGCAAACTGCGGGAGGGGCCGTGCTGAGGACGGAAAGTGCCAAAATGGAGCCCTTGGTGGCGCCAAAGCTCTGGAGGCCTTGTAGCGAGCATGGGCCCGGCTTTGGCTCTAGCGTGCCATTCGCAAGCTGTGGAATGGCATTTGCACGGAATGAATCTGTGTAATGGACATGAAAGCATTGAGCACGAGATCTTTCTCAATTCTGAACAAGACTTCACGCCCATTGAACGCGTGTGCAATGCGCAGGCTCAGTGAGGCTCAGTGCCAGTGAGGTGCTTTGTGACTCTGCGCATTGCGCTTTCCATTTTCCGTTGTACCGTCCAGTCTCCGAGTCTCTTCCTGGCTTTGCCGCTTGGCCCTGCTTCGCCTTGTTTCACCGGCCATATGTGCTACGCACAGAGATACGCAACGCCTTCATGTAAAATGTATCTATGTGCTGTTACGACATGTCTTTGGACAGCAATGCATCGGAGGTGGCAAATTTGTATGCTATTGCAATAGCAAAAGCAACATTTCTATCGGTATTCTGATTCTCCCTGCTCGAGGCATGAGCATGTGCTAATCTGAAGCCTGGAGACGTTTTGGTTTTGCGGCTTTGCTCCGATGGGCAGCACTCCCAATGAAAGCTCCTTTGCAGCGTTTAGGATCTTTTGGGTCAGAAAGTTTGTGGCGTCGCGTTTGTGCTGAGGCGATTCCGATGCGAAGGTTGGGAAGAGAAAGTTGAGAAGTTGAGAAGTTGAGAAGTTGAGAAGAGAAGTTCATGCGATTGCTGCGAATGCCAATCCGAATGCATTGAAACCGCTCGCTCGCTCAGGGCGCGGGTTTGGGGGCGTGGGAGCGCCGTCTTTGGCAAACGACCGACGTGGTGATCGGCGTTGACGAAGCGGGGCGCGGTCCCTTGGCCGGGCCAGCAGCTCGACTGACTCGACCAGACTCGACTGCTCCATCCCCAGCCCCCCGTTCGGGGACCCGCCACTGCCGGGCAGACCTTCTCTCGCCTCAGGTTGTTGCAGCTGCATTTGCCGCCCTGTCGCAAGATGACGAGGTGCCCGAAATTTCTTCACTTGAGGCAAGTGTATCAAGCTATTGCATTGGCTGGCCACCCTCCCGCCCACCCACCCACCCTTTTTTGGGAGGTGCTGGACTTGCTGAGTCGTGTGAACGACTCCAAGCAACTGGCAGAGCAGCAGAGGGAGCAACTGTTCCAGGACTGTGCAAAGCTATTGATGAAGATGATGAAGCATGGCATCGTGCTGGGTGATTCCTGAAGAAAACACAGGAGCTTACCGACCCCAAGTTCAAGAAGCGGGTGATTTGGGCCATTGCTGAGTCGTCTGCTGCAGAAATTGATGCCACCAACATCTTGCAGGTGGCTCAACGCATCATCGTGACATGACATTTTGAAGCACTGTAGTAGCTGTACTGAGCTGCATTTGCATAGCAGGCATCTCTATCCGCCATGGCCCGAGCGGTGCGTCTTCTAGAGCTTGGAGAGCGTCTCCCGGAGTCTCATGTACTTGTGGACGGCTGCAACCGGCCGCCGGAGCTGTTGCACCAGGGAGAGAAATGGACACGGCTGTCACAGCGGGACCTGGAAGCACGCAAGAACCAACAGAAGCTTTCCCAGTTCTTTGCAAGTGTACCGAGCCAAAGCAAGGGGAGCGAGCACGAGAAGCCCAAGGAGGTTGAGGCTGTCATCCAGGGTGACGGCCGTGTGCCGTCCATCTCTGCTGCCTCGATCATCGCAAAGGTGCACAGGGATAGGCTGATGGAAGCCATGGACCGCGAGCATCCTGCCTTCGGCTTCAAGCTGCACAAGGCCGGGGTCTCGGGGTCCCGTCCCAAAGTCACCCAGCTTGCGCAGCTTTTTTTGCAGCGGCCTTGCCGCATCGCGTGAGGGCTACGGCACGGAGGCGCACCTCCAAGCCATCCGCACGCACGGCATATGCCACGAGCACAGGAAGACCTTCGGACCTGTGAGGCGATGCGACTCGTAGCATCGCATTGCAAGCACTGCCTCGCCTCGCTGCCTCGCAGGCTCCTGCTTGAGCAGAAGAACGTTGACATTTGCAAGGCGCACACGGGGTGAGGGAATGGAGCCAATAATGGTGCTTACAATGGTGACATATTGTAACGAGGCATTGGCAGCAACGCCAAAACGCTCCAACACGGAGATGGGCAACTTGCATTGCATCAGCGTGGAAACTTATTGAAGGAATTTGCTCTTGCCAACCATCCGCCAAGGTCTTGCGAAGAGTCCGCCAAAGGAAGGCTTGTACTTTTGGTGCAAGTTCTGCACCCGTCACCCACAAGCTCGATTGGCACGTGGGAGTCGTTTGTTTGGCCTTCGCAAAAGGTTTGTGATTCGATGGCGATCGAGTACGTTTTGTTTCGTTGCAAAGATGTGCAAGTTTGGTTTGGCTTTATGACTTGGTGAAAGATGTGAAAGAGGGTGGACTGATGAGGACAATTTGAAGATAGCACTTTAACGACATGTAGCGACGCGGGGGGGGGGGGGGGTGAGTCCCACTGCCGGGGGTATCTTATCCCAGTAGGGAACGGACACCTTGTGGCCCGTAGAGGATCGTATATGTGCTCCCTGGATCTATTCCGCAGGAAATCCAATATGTCAATATGGAGGGTAGGAGAATGGATAGTCTCTGGTGGCTCTGATTATTGTGTTTCACTGTAAGCGGCCTGCAATAAGTCCATTTATGTAGCTATCGCATGAATGGTGCAATTTGTACAAGAAAGGGCCCTGAGCCAAATGGTTGCATGGAGATCAAGGTTTAAATCAACCACAAAACAGACAAATTTCTTTTGATCTCCAGCACTGAATTACTATGCAATTTCTGGCTTCTTGGCCTTCGGCCGTAGCCTTTGTTTTATGCCGTAACCATTGAAATACTTGATTCATCTTTTTTTACTGCGCGGATGAAAAGTCCTGGTGACAACTGGAAAACGGTTTGTACTCTTGATGTGAGATACCTAGCTGGATCAAAAGAGGATGCAAAACGCTTTGTACGCTCGGGATCGATGTGAAACTGTTGATCTCTCACTGAAAATAGTCTTGTTGTCGATGAGGACCAATTGGTCGTGATTCGTAGTGCCGGTTTCGCGTGAAGTCTCGCAATCGAGCTTCTGAGAATCTTACTCCTGGCAAAACATGAGGACCAAAGGAGGTCTGGATGGTTGCCAAAGGAGGCAGTCGCAATGGCTTATCATTTCTTGTTTTACCAATGATAGCTGCTATCGGGTTGACTGCCGTATTCAAAATCTCTCCAGGTCGAATCGCTGAAATGCTTCCATCCGTACGAGTATTGGTTCCATGGCTTCCACGCTGTCTCCTGTTTCTTGCCCTTGAGGAACTCCTTGGTACGAGAATAGTTTCTCTCCCGATTTGCTGCACGGCTTTGGATGTACACCATCAGTGGGCTGTGTGAATTGGAATCACAGTCACCCAGCATCCGCATCTCGTTGGTGATGTGCTTGATGCGTTCGTTGGATGAGACCTGGTGGTCGGCCATGACCTTCTCAAAGTCGTCCTGCATGGTTGCAGTTGTGCCTCAGTCAAATTTCCAATCTCTGACTTGCGGAACTCTTTTTTGATGTCTGTCTTTCCCCATCCAAACACAAATGTCATCATACAGTCAGGAAATGTTCTGTCACACCCGGATCCAGTCTTCAAATAGAGGTGATGACGTACGATTGACTTCATGGTGCAGGATGTCGCCATTTTTGTAATCCAACCAACTTGGAAGTCGTCCCATGATTTCCTTCTCAAACACATTGCCCCCAATCATAAGAAGATCATCTACATGAAGAGAGAGTGAAGCTCCTCTTGGAACTGGCGAACACATGATTGTTTTTGTCATCCTGGACGGGGCAACAACATTGCTCCCCTGCAGGGAACCCGAGATCTCCGCAACATTGGCGCAGAGGGTTTTGATGGAGTTTCCGATTCTTGGGGACAATGAACGAAATCAAACGGGGGTGTAACGCCTTTGGAACTTGCTTTCGGAAGACAACCAACAGATCTCACCCAGCTTGATGTCGCAACACCTACTCAATTGGCGATCAACAGGAATGAGGAAGAGCTTACAGCCATTCAAATGAAGCAGCTGTGCAAGCAGGCATTCCAAGAAGCTCGTCAATCCGAGCACATCCGACGAGACCTTGCTCAGAATTTTCGAAGGAAGACAAACCCAAGAACCGTTCCGATGGAAGTGGCTAAAAGGGAAGGTCATTTCCTTGGAAGGAGCAATGGTTGGACGCCATCCTTTCAGAGAAGCCTGGAATTGATTTTCTTCTACCAGATGAGAAAGCGGCTCTTCAGCAGGCTCCAGGAGGGAATCATCCATACCAACTCCTAAGCCAGCATCATTTAAGCCATTGATCAAAGACCTCTAACTCGATCATCCCATGCCGCCAGCGCCAGGTGTATCCCCAGACAGCCGCCAGTCGATAAGCTGAGCGGGGATGTCTCTTTGCCATCCCACTCGCAACCCTCTCAGCCGATTCTTCCGACTGTCGCGGCGCCTTCACCACCTGCAACTCTGACGAATTCCGAAGCAGAAGACAATGATGAAGAGCTTGAACTGCCCCATCTTGAGAAAGGAAAAGAAACAACTGCGCCTTTGCAAGGCAGTCCAACCTCCAACTTTAATCCAAAGCGCAAGGCTGAGAAGAAGAAGAATCCAGACGATGATGATGATTCACCTGAACCTGATCCTCAAGGGGAACCTGCAGCTTCATCCAATTTCAATCCGAACAATCCAGTCATTTTGCCGATGCAATCCGATAGTGAGGAAGAACTCACTCCTCACGTTCCAACTTCATCCGGCACTGCAGCACACTCACCAAGAACACAGAGAATCTGAAGACTCTCAGAGGACAAGAGCATATGATGATCAGGCCAACCTCGTCACTGACAAAGCACACAGAAGATCTGTGCTAATACCGGATCCTTTACGGTTCCAAGAGAAGGCCACCCTGTCCTTCCTGGACGCAGAAAGGGGACCTTCATCCCATGTTCTTTGGTTGAGGCAAAACGAAATTCGGCTCATTAAGCGCGAGCAGAGAGAGGGGCAGCTGCCTTGTCACTCCATAGAAGCCCTTGGCGTTAGGGCTTGGCCCCAGGATCAGGCTGGGAATGCCGCAGCAACTCCTTGCCCTTTGCAGGCAGCAAGGCGCCGTCGCCGCCGGCGCGTGCCAGCTACAGCGGAGGCTTCGCTCCAAGAAATTGGAAGTGTTTGGGTTTGTTTTTTTGTTGTTGTTTAGGTTAGCCGCGCCCGCCTCTTGCCCTGAAAACATCCGCGAGGTAATTCCATCCCAGCGTGTGACCCCTTTTTGCCAACAAGTTCAAAACGTACAAGTTGGGGCCTCGACAGCTTCTGCGCCAAAGGGAATTCTGCAAGTCGCCGGCGCGGAGGCCAGCCGCACCTAGGGGCCTGCAATTACAGCAGCCAGGGAGGTGTCCCAAAATGCTCGCTTGCAGTAAATAGCAGGGTGGGGGTGGATCCCGCGGGCCTTTCCCTGGCTAGGGAGCCCCTAGCCTTGTTGCGTTTGCCAGATGCAGCTGGTGTTTGAAATGCCAGTCAAACCGGCGAAGCCGGTGGGCGGAAGTTTCTGAAAGCTATAAAACCAAAAGGATTTGCAACCTTTGCTGCGTGCAGATCTTCTTTTCTTGTCTGTTCTCTGTTTGACTTTCCTTTCCTTTCTGTGCCTTTTGCTTCTTTCTTGTTGTATCCTTTCTGCTTGTCTCTCTTCTACTCTTTGCCTTACTACCTCTTCTGTCATGTATTTTCTCCTCTGACTACCTGATCCAACTATCCTTCCTTTTTCTATCTATCCAATCATCTTCTACTTGTCTACCTCTCTATCTCATCATCTATCTATCTACTTATCCAGCTATCTGTCTATCCGTCTCTCTAATCGGTAAATTGAGTGTCTCTTCAGTATAGCAGGATGACTGGGCTGTACTTGAATAGGCTCCATGAAGCCTTCTCCATCGGATGACATTGCTTCTCGATCTTTGCGGAAATTCGCTACCACAGGTAAGGGAACGGATACCTTGTGGTAGTGGAGGATCGTTTATGTGGTCCCAGGATTTATTCCGCAGGAACACCAAAGATGTCAATATGGAGTGTAAGAGAATAGACAGTCCCTGGTAACTCTGATTACTGTCTTTCACTGTAAGCTGCAAAGAAGTGTGCAATTTGTACAAGAAAGGGCCTTGAGCCAAATGGTTGCATGGAGATCGGGGGGTGTCTTGAGTAGCGACACCCTGTGTTTAAAATTAGACTAGCCAGGTTCTGGATGATGAGTTGCATGTATGTAAGTACCATTTCGTTGCAAGGACACCCCTGCGTAGGATCGCAAGCGCCAGCGCTTTCACTTTTGCAGGCCGCTTGATGGTGTGACTCTTCGCTGCCAGGAATAAGCTGGCTAGATTTGCTTTTGTGGAAGCAGAGTCTTGGCAGTTTCTCAGTTCGGGAAAGCTCCGGCCACAGTAGCGACGCCCAAAGGACACCTTTCAGATTGCGGAGCCACCCAAACGCTTGGTAGCCTTCACCGCGCAGCTGCATCGCGTACTTGATCTGTGCTAGCTGGAGCTGCGGCTACACGTTGGAACAAC